AAAGGCGGCGGGGGGGGGGGTTTGCTGGTATCAATAAAAAGTGTCTTAGACAAACTTTGCCTTCTCTTTGTCTCAATTTGATTGCAGCCAGTCAGCTTTTACATTTTTTAAACTGTGTGGAAACGAATAAAAGATAGAAGCTGATGGGTTGCTATGGGCAACCATACTAGTTGAGATAGAACTTGTCTCCGACACTTTTTTTTAATAAATCCTCCTATGGCGTCTGTGAAAGTTGCCAAGTAAATGCTCAGAAGTGGCACATTTTGTTATAGGATACATCTCAAGATGAGCAGTATCATTCTTTTTTCCTATATATAAACTTAAACTTGTGTCCAAAGGATTTATATGTATTGCACAGCATTTTATTTCCTTTGTACTTTTCTTTGTCATAATTGGCAGTAATTTATGTTCGGTTTTCTTGCAGAGTATCCAGTATAATTTCTTTGGTGAATAAGAACAGCGCTGTGGTGGGGGCTTCCTGTAACGCAAGGTTGTTGCTAATGTCTGCCTGGATACCAACAGTGGCAACAGATGTCATATCAGTGTTAAAAAGTGAAAACGGACCCGCTACGGACCTGTTCCACTGCTGTTTCATGCATGAGTGACTTGTACACTTGGTAGAAGTTTGTCATTTTATATTAAAATGACTTTCTTGAATGTTAAAAATGTTGAGATCTCTCATGGACGTAAAAAAAAAAGAGTAACTGTTTTCCCAAGCACACTCCTATAAAGTCCAGTAGAATGTCATACAGCTGTGATTGTTTTTGGTTTCTTTTTTTACATATCTGATTTTGAGAAGACAATTGTGTAGAAGTGACTGTCAAATTGTGAACCTAGTAAATAGTAAATCTTGAAGATAAAATATCATCCATCACTTTTTCTTGAAGCCTGCCTGCCCAGACAAAAAATCCATTCCAATCAGAAATGAAAATAAAACCTTAAGATGCATGCAGACTTTTGGCTCTTGTCTATGTATATCTAGGGGACTGTTCAATGTAAGGGAACATTCCAGGGCCTCATAGGTCCTTAGGTGTGAGCTCTGAAGCAGCTACAAGGGCTATATTATTCTAAAACTGAGTGGCCTTCTCCTCAGCTTTAGAAACATGTTTTTAGTAGATCTGAGTGGATCACCACATGAAACCACCATTACTTGTGAAAAGCGAACATGTCATGTTCAAGCAGTAGTTGTAGTTCACACTGCAGCAGATTTTAAAGTGTAAATAAACCCTCACAATTAACTTATTTTATTTGCTCCCTTTTGGATGAGTGACTATGCCATTGAATGTGTTTTGTTATTGTTGCGTGATAAGTGCACAAAAACCCCAGTTGAACTTGTCAGAAATCCATAGCTGCATTGTGTATTGTACACTCTGCTTGTGTTATCTAAAGAAGCCTCAACTGGGGTGCCATCTGGCTTCATCAGGGGTGCAGTCAAATTTACGCACAGCATCATGTGTTTACATTGTGCAGGTGGGCCAGTTGCCAGCACCATGGAAATGCTAATCCAGAGCAGGTGGCAACCAGCTTCAAAAGAGGACGGATATCCACCTCTGTCCAGACCTGCTCTGCCTTCCACCCTATGCCATGCTAATGCTGTGGTACAGATTGGAAGGCAGGATTCTGATGTGAATGAGGTCTCTGATGTGATCTGGGGACTTCTGATGTAAAGGGAGGGGGGGGCTCCTGATATGAAGGGGGGACTCTCTTGTAAAGGGAGGAACCCTATTGTGTTTTTTTTGCTTGAGGTCCCCTCCTTAAATTCTATACCAGACCCCTATCTAGGATAGGGATCTGGCATGCATTTTTTGGGAAACCACATGTTAACATTTACATTTTAGATTGGGGTACCTCAAGATTTTGCATACTTTTAAAGGTTGCCCTGACTGAAAAAGGTTGAGAAATACTGATCTCAAAGGTGTCTAATTAGTTCTCATCTAGGACTACAGAACAATTCTCTTCTATGTTGTGGAGGGGAGGAGAGAGTTAGGTATTCTTTAGTTTAGCAAAATACAACTGGGCAGGGCTGACACCATTCCTTGCAATTTCAGCTCAGCAAAGGAACTGTGTTGTCAGCCCACAGCAGGGCTTAGGATCTTAATGCATTCCTGGCAGATCAACCGGTATTTTTCTGTATTTGCAGTATAAAACACAGGAATATGTGCATATATTGCAGATGTGTACTACATGTTTTTTCTTTATTTTGCCCTGACTTACACTTTAAAAATCAGCCCCTGTTATTTGTTTGCAAACTATAACACTAACGTATGGCAAGTTTTGCTTACAAGGACATGGAATTTTTGAGTTGTTAGGATTCAAAATAATAATGCAAACTTGTTTTAAGACGTGGTAGATTCTTGTCTTGTGGTACAAATCCACTGATTTTCTTTCCTAATTTCTATTATGTGAAGGGGCCAAACATCTTTTTGTATATAATGACCTCCGAATGAGCACACTTTTGCTAGAACTTCTAATAAAAGACCTTTGCATTTTATACAGTAACCTATTGATGTGAAAATATGTTTGGATTTTAGTAGTGATAGAAAAGTCAAGTGTCTAAAATACTAAACTTTAATGGAAACCTGTAACGAGAGGAATTTGTATGCCATTGCTAACCTGTCTCTGTGAAAATGCTAGTTGCCTGTGAATGTCACAACGATCTTGGGACTTTAATACATTGCATTATGCACCTGGAACAAGCATTGAGATCAGCAGTCCTGACTTTACTGTCTGCGTTAGTGGTTTTAAAAAGGTATTGAAGCCAAACAACTAGCTTTTTCAAAAGGAGGTTTGAAAGGCAACCTCTCGATTTCTCTACAGAATTCCTTTTTTAAAAGCATGATGATTTCCATCATTGCTTTTAAGTGCACATTTCATGAATTTGCACAATAACAACCAATTCAATCTTTTGTTTATATTGTCTAGTATTTATGTAGCATGTGATATTGGTAGGTATTTGATGGTGTGGCTTGAAAATAACCTGTATATCTTCTAACTCTTGACTGTTGATGTGATGATTATCAGACATGTGGTCAGATAAAGGGGTTGATTTACTAAAGGAGTAGCACATGTTCACTTCACAAAGTGAATTTTGTTAAATTTTAGCAAATGAGGTGAAAACTGACTTTGCAAAGGATACACAATAAGGAAAATTAAAAGACGGGGGGCATATACTATAACTGGAGCAGACAGAATCTGGAGCAGGTGTGCATAGTAACCAATCAGCATCTATCTTCAGCTTGTCCGGTTTATTTAAAAATAAAAGCTAGAAGCTGATTGGTTGCCATAGGCAGCTGCTCCAGATTCTGTCTGCTCTAGGCTTAGTAAATTCACTTAAGCATTGCTCACAAAATTGCCTTACTGAAGTAAGTACAGCTTCACCTCATTCACAAAGTAAAAATTCACCATGCAAAGTGAGCATGCTCTACTCCTTTAGTAAATCCACCCCAATGACTAGATGCACATGAAAGTCACAAAGGTGTCAGAAATTATTCTTCTGAACATTTTTCTTAAATACATTTTCAAATGAAAAGTGAATTCTGACACCAAGACTAGAAGCAGCATTTGACCACGTGAGGCCAGTGTTAGGGCCTGTGTTGATGGGATTTTGTCCACCTTGGGTTTTGCATTACTATGCAAGTCTATGGGAATGAAAACCCCAGTTGCAGCAGTTTGGAAGTAGGTCAAATTCACCTGTCAATGCATTCTGGATGATCTTAGATCTTAGAAGTTTCCTTTACACAAGCCCAAAGCCTGTCAACACAAGCCCTAATTTATGATTGATTTCTGTACTACACATTAGCCTCTAAAAACAGGTTTGATAAATGTCCTAAATACAATTTACATACTTCTACAAGTCCTAGTGTTCAGTTTACGTGACTGTGATTTGTCTTGTCCAATTCTGTTGGTTGTCAAATTAATATACGAGCTACCAAGAATTTTAATATTTGGTGTTTCTCATTGAGTGTTTAGAAAGTAAAATGTCATTGTATATTTAATATTGCTTTCAGCCTGGAGCTGATATTTGTCAATAAAGAATAAAACTCTTTCAAGTGTTATTTGTTCTTTTGTCACCACATGCACCTGCTTGGAATAAGGTTGCATCCGATACACTTTAAAGAGTACAGAAAATATTGCTTTTGAGTGGATTAAACTGTTTAAAAAAAATAATACAAAGTAGTTATGGGCAACTTGCTTAAGGTCCCTTTCATGTGACTGCTCTGATGAGATCCTCCACTCTGTATTTTGGGGATGAACTGATGCACGTCCTTTTACTTCCACCTAACATGGGTCAGTGAAGCTCCAATTTTTCCTCCATCACAGAATGGAGAAAACGAATGAATGGACATTACTGCCACAAAAGTAACTTCCTTTCCTTTTGTTGTTCACGGATCCCCTGCTGATTTGAACATACACCACTGGGTGAAGGCAACAGATCAGATTTAGTTATATTTTGGTAAACAGAACACAAAGAGGTATACTGTATAACAGTATGGTACTTGGTAATGTGTCCTAAAACAATTCGATAAAAAAAAAAAACAATAGGTGTGGCCTTAATGCCACAGACACAGCAACAACCACAATTCACACCATGGTTTAGCCACAAGTCCTCACCACGTTGCAGAAATAGAGTAGAAAGAAAAGGTACTACAGTATAAAGAAAACACGGATGGTTATGCCCAGGGCAAGAAAAGCAGACCAGCAGGATTTCAAAAGGTAGACTAGAATGGTCAAATGTAACCTAAGCTCGTACCTGAGTATTACTTGTATTTGGTTTCAAGGTGCCCTGCTTCTCTTTAGTTTGACTTTACACATATTCATTTCAGCATATGCACATAGTCTGTACAAAATGCAATCTAAGAATATGGATGTTAAGGTGTCTTCATTTATCATTTTGACAGCAACAAGCACACAAATTTATACTGTGAGGTATACTTCAATTTAGTCATCAGCTGGCCATGCAATGCTCGAATTTTCTGCACCACCAGACACCATCCAACTCAACAATTTCTTATTCCACTTACGTCACAGGAGCCAGGTGGGAAGTTGTCGGCTGAATAGAGACTGCCGTTAATCTGCTGCAGTCACTCTTCAGGTATTTGGACAACGATGATCAACAGCTATCAGAATACAATAACCAGCAGGGATGATTCATCCATCTATAATGTTAAGCGTTGGTGGATGAATCTGTTAGATTTCTTTGACCCGCAGGCTAAAAGAAAGAAATATATAAGTGTACAGTAGAACCAGCTTTACATAGTTTTTCAGTCATGAATTTAACTGAACACCAACTACATATTGTAAACAAAGGTTTACTCCATATGGTATACAAAGAATAAAGCTAAAAATGCAAGCTTGCAGCAGCCAATAATCAGCATACAAAACCAATTTCAGATGACAGAAACCTGAATTCTGATTGGGTGTTTTGCCCTCCTAAACAATACATGTTTACTTACCTGATCCCCACTCACCAGACATTCAGCCCTCCGCTCTTTCCCCCAACTCCAGCTGTGGGCTGTCCTTCAGTGTCCTCACTTACAATGTAGATCTATGGAGCCTTCATTGTACTTGATGATGTAAACGGCACTTAGACCGCCAGAGCAAAAGGGAAAAAAGGCTGCAGAGACTGGCCATGTTGCCTGGGGGAAGCTGGCAGGAGTGGGCAGTAGTGGGGATCAGGTAAGTAAAAAAGCTTTTTCCAGTCCTCTGGGCATAATCAAACAGTTAGCCCTTGCAGTTCGGAGCAGTCCAAAGATTTCCCTTGCAGTGGAATTTCCCTGGAGTTGGGCTTTAATGGTTGTCAGTACTATTAAAAAGTGCCATTCATTAACTGCAGGTAGCAT